CCATCGTACGAAATTTTTGACGCTCACAGGAATTTTTCGGCAAGTCGAAAGTCGAAAATCGTCTCTGTGGCGAAATTCAAAGAATTGAAATATACAAAAAGACAACAAGTTTCAAAATCATGACTTGAATTTATGGCAGAAAGGAATATATTTAATTTGTGGGGTGATAAGACATAAGGTCAGCCAGGCCAGCGGCAGAAGCCGCTAACGGCTAATTGCCGACACGAAAGAAGGCAACTTGAGACATTAAAATTCAAAACATTAGAATTCAAAACCGTTTCTTAGCTACTCTGAATATGCGCCCACTTTTACATTGGTTATAACCCCGAGATAGACGGGCATGTTGAAAGTTTTCCTTGGTGGACTATCGGGTTTACTGGAATTCTACATCAGCCCAATTTTATCAGTGTTAGTGGTTCATGCTTGTAAGTCCATTTCGGTTACGCAAAACTTATGTTCGCATGACTAACTTATGTATGTATCGCAATACTTGACACGACACGTGGATGTCGTGTTAGAATCTGCAGCTTAAATAGTTCCGTAACAGACAGGCCAGGTCTGGTCAACGAGTGAAATTGGCCTGGGTTGAAAAGGTGACCAGTCGGCCCTACATAATTCCACATGTAGATTACATATGACCTGTTCGTTGTCATTCATAAGAGTAATTCTTATAATTATGAGTGATATTGAATCAGCATGAATTTCTTTTATGAATGAAAATGAATGAAAGATTCCCTCTTTTCTGGATATTTCAATCGCATATTTTACACGAGCTGAGTTCGATCTCACATAAGTGAGATCGAATGAAGTGAAGTGAAGTAAATTGAAATGAGTATGAATGAAAATGACTGAATAAATATGAATGGAACAAATCGTTCAAACATTATAACGTCTGGTTTTTCCAATAAGACGTTTTTTGAACAGGTACATATATAAATATTTAAGTAGACAACTTGCTACGAATGTTGAAGTGTGTAAATTCTGTAACACGTTGAAGAGGAGAATTAGACCATCATTGTTGAACATTCTTTCAGGTTATGGCAAAACTTGAGGAAAATTGTCGTATGGGAATTTGTTGAAATATTTTCTGCAATTTTTGTTCAGAAATCTTCCAAGTTTTTAACCTTCACCGATATATTTTTTCAGTCATTTTATAACTATACGTAATCGGCCAAGTCGTGTTTCGAGGTTAGGTTCTAAACGCTGGTTTGAGAGAAACAGAAAATTATCGGGCACCAGAGCCGTGACCTACGTGGGGCGCTTCGATAGGCTCGTCCACCCTCTGGGATGAGTAAGTTTATGCGCTGCATGCACCTTGCAAATCTTTTGTTAACCAAATCCAGCAATGCGCGCACGCAATGTAGACTAACCGCATATGCTTTATTTATTTGCACGGGGATATAAACTAGTTCTGAGAGCTTAAGTTTGTCAATACATTGTACTAACGGTGACAAGTGAATGCTCGTTGTTCTTATGAAACACTGATGCTAAGTAAAAGTAAAACCCCCGGTTACATATGTATGTACATAGGTTATAAAAAACTGACCATAGGAGAGTGGGTCTAAATATTTATGAGGTTGCCTCCCTTGGTGAAACATGGTATGAATGGGAGCATGCATAATATAAAATGAAAAAGGGGGATGTAAAAACTAATAGCCTATAGCAGCAGTCTCAAATAGACCCTGTTCTGCAGAATAAAGCGCTTCGTTCGCATCTTTAAAAAAAATTTACTGAGCTAACCCTCGCTACTTATCCTCCAGGACCATGTTTCCAATTTACTGGAGTTCCATCCAACTCGTTGCAATCGTTACTTTTTCATCTCTCTGTGCATGCACAGTTTGGAGTGATTTATTTATCGATGCCGATCTAACCTTTTCATTCACTCCGGAAGGTGACAGGGTAATGGAGGTAGATGCAGATTTTCCGTATTTCGAGGCGGTGAGGGGTCATAATGCCTACACCCCGCTGCACAATTTCGTAGTTAATGAATCAATATATTCAGACACGTATCCAGATGGGCTCTACAACTACCTAAAAGTGCATGGGTATCGGGACATCGAGAAATCTGCAAGGCCTAAAGTAATTTTTGTTGATCTTGTCTCGTCTTTGACGTGGAAGACTAAGTGCGAGGACCTAATCCAGTCAACTGATATATCATTCGGACAAGAATTTGTGTTTGGTCACGTTCATAGTGCAAGAGATTTGTTTTGCCTCAGATGGCACGTTAGATTTTTGTCTACAGTGAAACTAATATTGTTCCAGAGAAGTATAAATTCACTAATATTTATTCCATGTTTAACCTGTGATAACATTGTATTCTCAAGGGTGAAGGCACTATCGTTAAAAGGTCTTAGCCAAACTTGGGACGCTCACAATAGAAACCTTCACAAATACTTTGTATTTGTACACCTGTCAGTACTAGGAAATTGCGCCCTACTACAAGACTCATCTAGCAATTTACGAAATTTCTATCTTTGCCCGCTCACAACAATTACCAAAAAGTATAATTTGACCTTAGTAGACTTCTCCTTAGACCTGTTTAGTTCTCACATCAAGAGTTTTGGTTATGCGCTAACTAAAGTACCAAATTATGATAGCGACTTTGGCTACAGCCTGCACCAAATATTCATACGAAACATTGATTTTCTAACTATTACAAATCCACCCGCTCCTGCAAGTGGGATGGCCACATTCGTTTCACCGTTTGATTTGGAGATTTGGTGCTTTCTCCTGGTCACCGTTATCTCAGTTGCATGGTTTCTAACTATGTTTGGATGTAAGATAAGCCGTGATGCATGCATTCCTGGAATAGAGAAGGGGATAAGGCTTGAGGCTTTAAGTTGTTACGCTGCGTCGATGGCGGAAAAGTTACTCACGGTGACTTTCATATTCCTAGGGCAAGTTGGTGCAAGTTCTGGAAGGTCATATCAGCATGGAAAGATGGCCCTTGTCCTTCTTACTCTATGGTTCTCAGGGAATCTCTTCCTCATGGTTAATTATTATCAAGGTTCAATATATTCATGCCTTGCTGTCCTCTTCCCTCCTCAAACCCCACGCGGAGTTGAGGATCTGGCCCACTGGGATCTTCGTATGGTAGCCATGCATACGGTTATAGCAATAAATAAGGTTAAACACACACATCTGCATGAAATCATAATACCCCAATTACTTCGTAGTGCCACCAACAATCCAAACTTTATTAAATTCTTAACCAAATTTAAGTTGAACCTCTTGTCCTTCAATTATGGCTCAGTAATGGAAATGGTGGACGATATTGTATGGGAAACTTCAACACGTTCTCACCCAATGACAGTAATATTCAATTTTAGAGATGTGCTTGAAGTTGACACCAAGCGCATTAAACATATGGGAAATCATCACGCTGTCATGAACAATGGTGACACACCATTTCGACTTATACTTTTCACTAAAAGCAATCTAAATTTGTTTAGTTCTCACTTAAACAAGGGGTTGAGACGCTTGCAAGGTCTAACCTTGCAAGAATCTGGGTTGGTTCAGATGTGGGCCAAACTAAAAATCTTATACGCGTTCTTGAGCTATAAAATAGAATTGCTAGCACGTGGAACATATTTTAAAGCTGTGCAGAGTTGCTTTGGAAATGTTAGAGACCAAGTAACATTTCATGAGTCGAACGCTGTTTCTCTTGACATAATTCTTCCTGCCTTTTTACTCTGTGCATTTGTCATGTCGTTGGGGATCGCTGGTTTCATAGCAGAAAATTTGAAAGTTCTCGCACATGTGAAGACCTTTGATATAATGAATATTCTGAACAAAATAAGAGGGACAATTAAATTGTAGACTGTGCATAGATAAAATTGGATATGGAAGCCGGGTAACAGAAATCTTACTTCCCGTTCACAACCTCGTCGTCAGTGAGAAATTTTATAGGAAATATGAAATTTGTTCCCCTATCTGGCAGGGGAAACCACACATGAGAAGATATACATATGTACATATTATTCACAAAGAAATGGTGAATACCAGACTGTAAATCTTGCTCGCACCTTTCCCATCTCGTAATCTCAGGTTGCCAGCTAACTATTCAGATTTACAAATGAATAGATGTGGACAAGCAAATAAAATACGAGCAAAAATTTTTATTCAATGTAAAACAAATCTGGAATTGTTTAAGTTTTTCCACGTGGCTGTAATACCAGCACTATCTTTGACAAATTATCTTGGTAATTATGCTCACCAAAAAATTAAATTGCATTTTTTTTAAATTTTGTTACCATTTCATTTTATACACACAAAAGTCATGTTGTATGTGTTGGTCCCCTATATCAAGCGATGTAGAGTTTCCAATGCTTGCAAGTGTGACAGCACCTTGGTCGCACCGCTAATGGACCGGTGCGAGCAAGATTTATTCTCTGTTCAGTGAATACCCTCATTTTTCTTAGTTACTAGTCTTTAAATGCGGATTTTTAGATTGAGAAGAGGAAGATGGGTCTACTGAATTTTTTTACTGTGTGCGTCAGGAGGTACGTAAATTACCCGTAACATTGCATATTTGTCCGGGTGTCAAACATTTTTGACATCCTAACATAATGCAAATTGAAATATGTTATCATTGCCATCAATCTTGAACGAGGTTCCATAATTTCCAAGGATTCGGTGGTTTTTGTGAAGGTTTTGGCAGCAAGATTTCCAATCTGGTATCAAAAATCTAACGCAATCCAACATAATCTAACGCATTGTATTCGGAACTTTGATGTCGCACGAGCCTAAAATCAATTGCATCTTTTGGATTTACTGCATTTTTTCTGCAAGTTTCAATTGCAAAACAACTTACACATTATACTTATCGGTATGAGCAATAACCCCAAATTTTAAAAGAATGAGCAACACAAGTTTTTGTTTGAAATTTGTATCCTAACAAAATTATATAAATCAATTCAAGTATTTCAAATGTATGAAATTTTATTCAAATAAATCAAATAAATTTATATATAATAAATTTAAGAATAACTCCAATCGTTTCCAATTGATGCAATTTTATTTACCTCAATCACTTATCAATCCTAATAACATCGAATTCAGGTTTCTTCTCTGACCAAGATTTTAATTGCGGATGAGTAGAAGCGTCGACCTCATTATCGATTAAATAGTGCAGAGATAAAACGGAATCTTGTCCATCTCTTTGCAAATTTGTGAGTTTCCCAGCCTTGTCATACGTGTAGAGGACTTGCTGCTCGACACCGGTGTCGTTCTCGTACCATAGTTGTGGTTGGTAGATATGAGTTCGTCCAATGTACTGGGTAGATCATTTTTTTAAGTTATTAATACACTCTTAAAAATAATGTGCAAACCAAATGAGCTCTGAATTACAAATTAAGCATGGCTCTGGATATAGAATTTACTAAATTCAGAGTAACGTTAACCCTTTGCAATGAGTTTAATGTGCATTACTTTTCAAAAGGGTGGTATAATTTTTAAGAGTGTACATAAACATATAAAAATAACCTCCAAGTAGAAATTACATCTATTAAGAAATTGTATATTCATAATTAAAGAGATAAATAATCCAAAACACACTCAAACACACACAAAAATCGTGTTGTCGTTTTTGAAATGCAAAAGCACGAAATCCAGAGCAACCTTTACCTGATAAAGAGTAAAGTTTACTTTGGATTTAGCATAGTTTAATTAAATTATAATACATAGTGCAATTGTGATTCAAAATGGTAACATGATTTTCAAGAGTGTGCATAATGAGGGGGTAGGGGCTAGAGTTACCTCATCCGAAGTGGAGAATATGCCCGGATCAAAATCATACATTTCGACACTGAATACAATGGGATGGTCGTAACTCCAGTCAAATTCGAAAAGTCCTGGGATTGTTCCTTCCTTCTTATCCATCAAGACTTTGGACTTGTAGGCTTTGTGATCATAGTCATTCTGGATTTTGGCGTAAGGGTCTAAACACAGGAAGGATTTGTGCACTCTTAAATTTGCTGGGTTGTGAATTGTCTCATTGTAAAAAAATATAAGTGTAATTTGAATTGATGTCGAGATGCAAAGTAGAAATGAGTCGGATGAGATATTGTGGAAATCTAACCCGCCTTACCCGGTTAGCTTATGAACCCGACACGTCTAATTTATGAACCCGACCCGTTTAATTTCTGAAAATTGACCCGTTTAATTTATGAACCCGACCCGTTTAATTTCTGAAAATTGACGCGTTTAATTTCTGAAAACTGACCCGGTTAATTTATGAACCCGAGCAGGCTAATTTCTCAACCCAATGCGATTAATTTTTTACCCCGACCCGGTTAATTTTTGAACCCGACGTAATTAATTTCCAAACCCGACCCGGTCAATTTGTAAACCCGACCCGGTCAATTTCCAAACCCGACCCGGTCAATTTTCTAACCCGATCCGGTTAGCTTCTGAACCCGACCTGGTAAATTTCCGAATCCGACGCGATTAATTTATTAATCCGACCTGGTTAATTTCCGAACCCGATCGCGTTTTTACTCACTGGTCTCATGCCCGACTAACCTCTATTACCAACTATTTTTCTAGGATTTCATTATTCTTTCTATACATACACACACCATTACAAAAAATGTGGCTCTATTGAAAAGTATTTAAGTACCCTTTGAATTCCATCGTAATTAAATTTTACTAAATCCAGGATAATTTTTACTCCCTATTAAAAAAGTGACATTATGCTGGATTTAGCATAGTTCATATTACTTAGAATTCAGAGTGCATTAAAAGGGTGACAGCATTTTTAAGAGTGTCAGATTTTTATGAAAATATGTAGTTACCAGTTTCAGATGCTTTCCCAGATCCGCTATCCTTCTTTGGAATGTTTCTGAAATGTTTAAAATTAAAATGTAAAATCCATTTGCCGTGGGAAAATGTTTATTTTTGTACTTCTCGCTTACGTGAAAGCTATGAGGAACTTTACGTTGAAATCGGGTGGTATGTTTCCTAAAATGCTACCCACCAGGAAGCAAAGTAAGATAATACGCGTCATTTTATGACGAGAAATACCTACATAAGTAGGTGTGAGGTGGAGTGGGTAGGCAATTAAAATTTACATATGTAGGTTGTGTTTATGACAATTTTATTTGACCTGGAACTTGTTTATAAATATTCGCCATTGTCACTAAACGGTGATAATTTAATCGATTACGCTTTAACCCTTACAATGCAAGTCTTTTACGTGTACAACTCAGATCTGGTTGGGACCAATTTTATTTTGTTCACCACAAAAAATAAGCATACCCGTATTTTTTCATTTTTCATAATGCGCTAATTTGAGCGCGGGGCGCGAATTTTAAAGCATTTTTCAGCCAAAACCTGGGGTTTTAAAAATTCTGCAAATTTTCGAATTTTAGCTCGAATCTAAAAATTCGAAAACATGTGTCTTCATAATGACTTACTTGACTAATGAAAAATCCACATGCATTATTTTTTGAAAAATTAAAAATTTGAAAGAGTTTATAATTTTAATGAATTTCAAATAATGGCAAAAAATTTTGAAAATCAAATTTTGAGACAATGGGATTTTTCATAAGTCAGGTAAGTCATTCTTAAGAGACATGTCTTCGAATTTTTGGATTCGGGTTAAAATTCGAAAATTTACAGAATTATTAAAAACCGAGGTTTTGGCTGAAAAATGCTTTAAAATTCGCGCCCCGCGCTCAAATTAGCGCATTATGAAAAATGAAAAAATATGGGTATGCTTATTTTTTGTGGCGAACAAAATAAAATTGGTCCCAACCAGATCTGAGTTGTACACGTAAAAGACTTGCATTGTTAGTTACGAAATATGCAGATTTGTGGAGTATTTTGTTTTCCGTTGAGAAGGAAATATACAATTTTTTTGCACTGTATAAATTACACTGCCACCAAAATTTCTCAAAAATATTAGTATAGGTATTTCTAATGTACATAAACTCAGAACAAAAATTTGTCGAATCAACACCGCCGGTGTCAATATATGACTTAACCGCCTTGGTTACAATGTTGAATCCGAGTTATGATGGTTTTGATACCGGTAGTTATAATGTTATGACCGGACGGAAAAATTTCATTACCACTCGGAATCACAATTGTAACCAAGGCGGTTAAGTCATATATTGACACCGGCGGTGTTGATTCGACAAATTTTTATTTTGAGTGTATTTTAACTACCCGTGGAAAGCTCTTATGTAAACAAGGTGAAAGCTTGCTTGGATTTTAACGTCTCAAAAAGTTACGCGGCTTATACTATTTTACTTAATTATATTTCGTTATTTATTCCACGATTTAGCTACTGCTGTTCCCAAAAATTAAAACGCACAGATATGTTTTAATATTGCTCGGGCAATTAGCTTGTAGAAATTATCGACTTATATATGTACTAGCGTATAAGCCCGTCTCCCGCCGGGCGAGAGCTTATTTAATTTTTGGTGAAAATTAAGTCGGATTGTTCATAATTCCAGCGAATCATTTTTTACTATATAATTAGCTAGAAATGCCTGTTGGCGAGGGAAGTGAAACTTTCTCCGTTTTAACTTCCGTCACGGAAAATTACTTTCACTTCCGTTGAAGACAAACATTTCCAGCTTATAATATAGAATATGCATCTTATTGTACCCATACATCCGCAGTTTGAATTCATTTCGACAAAAGTAGTAGACTCGCAGTTTGTCGAATACAGAATTCCTGAACGACCAAAGGTGTGAGCGGTTCGACAAAATTATTTCCAAACTGAACTCTCAGTGGGACCAAGGACCAATACAACCGTTTTCCCACGGAAGATTTACATCTTCCTTTATACCCCAAAATCCACCTGGAACTGATTCTAATCACATTTCCCGCCACGGAAAACGTTACCAGGGTGAAGGCCAGTACCCCAAAGTAAGAGAGCAGGAACATTCCACCTCGTAAAATATTTACGTCGGGAACTTGAAAAAGTTTAATCGCAATAAAGCACAACATCATCTGCACGAATGGAAAAACGTATCCATTCACGGCAAAGATCCTTTTTCGTATCATGGAATTCATGATTTTCTCCAAAACTTGTAATTTTCGGTACTCGGAAATCCCTGCGGCGAAGGCGTAAATCCGATTTAATTCAGTCAGCAAAAAGGAGAGACATGGAACGAGGATCATCGTGGCTTGATAACCCTCACCAATTACGATGCCTGCTGCACTAACGAATTCGAAAATTGGGAAGAGGCATCGCTTCGTGAAATCTAAGTCGAAATGACTACCGTGGCAAAATATAGCGCTGAGGAAGGGCGGCTTGCATGGGAACAGGGCAGCCAGAAAGGCTGATCCACTGGCGACAAGGTAGTAGTCAAATTCAGCTAGATCCATACAGAAGAGGGCGCATTTCCAGATAAATGATTTCCTTGGATGATTAGAGCCTGCTAGAAAATAGACAGAATTTTTATAAAAGCTGGAAATATGTAGTTATGTAGGTTACAGCAATAAACTGCTGAAATTTTTGAAATCTTCATTAAATTTCCTATAGAATCTATGCATTTTACAGTAATGACGCTTTTACAGAACGCAAAACACCAATACTTGTGTCATGACTGCGAAAGGTGCCGTTATTTACTTTGCCAACTGTATCTAGAAGTTAAGGTTTACGACGATCGTGTGCAGTTACGTATGAGTAATTTTTTGGTTAATTTAAAAAATCAATTGTGAACACGATATTCTAAAGTTAGTACGAACATAGCTCAAAATAGAGGTGCAAATGGATACGACTTTTTGCTAAAAATATTTGGTAAATAAGATTTTAACTTCATTAGATAAGTATTTAGTCAACATCCTTGAGTACTTAATTTTTAATTATATGTTTATCAGACGCGAAATGAAGTCAATGAAAAAGGGTAAGATCTAGCCGAAGAAGAGCTAAATTTAGCTCCGACTTTATTTAGCCGAACCGGAGCTAGATTTAGCTCTAAAAGCCAAATCTAGCTCCTCAAGCTCAATTTAGCTTTAAAAATAGCTAAATTTAGCTGATCATCGGCTAAATTTAGCTTGGTCAGGCTTTGAAAACACCCACCGACTTTATTATGCACTGACGGTTGCTTTTGTCAATTTAGATAAATTAAGCAGGTTTCACTTAACAAATAACCAATGGCCCAGCTTTGTGTGATCTGGCCCACCGTGGTTACAAAAACTTAAAAGTGAAGGTTATTTTAAATTCATAGTTATAGATTGAAATTCAATCATTGAGTAATCTAAATTTAGCAGAAGATTTGGAGCAAAATTTACCCTTTGGAGCTAAATTTAGCTCCGGATCGGCTAAATAAAGCCGGAGCTAAATTTAGCTCTTGATTGATTGATTGATTGAAGCTTTATTCGAGTGTCTAACAAGTTCACCGTTACAAACAATGCTCTTCCACAAGTGACACATACAATAAACAATTTATACTATTAACTAATACTAACATTACTAATTTCGTCATAAACAATTAAAAAATATAATTTCGTAAATATTGAATCATGTATAGTTAATAGTATAAATTGTTTATTGTATGTGTCACTTGTGGAAGAGCATTGTTTGTAACGGTGAACTTGTTAGACACTCGAATAAAGCTTCAATCAATCAATCAATCAAGAGCTAAATTTAGCTCCGGCTTTATTTAGCCGATCCGGAGCTAAATTTAGCTCCAAAGGGTAAATTTTGCTCCAAATCTTCTGCTAAATTTAGATTACTCAATGATTGAATTTCAATCTATAGCTATGAATTTAAAATAACCTTCACTTTTAGGTTTTTGTAACCACGGTGGGCCAGATCACACAAAGCTGGGCCACTGGTTATTTGTCAAGTGAAACCCGCTCAATCCATCCAAATTGACAAAAGCAACCGTGAGTGCATAATAAAGTCGGCGGAGTTGAACCAAAGTATTGGTACCGTTGTACTCACAAAAATCACCTCTACCAACTATGCAAACCTTAACAAAATCAAATTTTTGTGTGGCCCTCGAGATTCCGGTTTCCATTATTGCTAAATAACAAAGTCTCTTCTTTGTTATACGGTCATGAACGGTTACGGTCACGCTCTTCTTCGGCTAAATATTACCCTCTTTCCTTGATGTAATGAAACGACTGTAATGAAACGACTAACCTATGTAATTTATCAAACAGATATGATCCGAATTCGGGGAAAGTTCGCATTTCAGCAGGAAAGCTGTCACAAGTATGGCTGTTAACCCAATAGCTTCCACAGTCTCGAGAAAGTTAGTGGCTTTGGTTTTCGTGCAGTACAGCTGTGTCAAAATGGTCACACAGTGAAGAAAATGTAACAAGTGTATAATTTTATGATATTTCTTGTTCCGTATAACAAATTGTGTTTTCTTCTTGTCCCAGGTGTACAAAACGCAGAGAAATACGTCACCAGACTTGTGATGGCGCTTCAACCTGGTAACAAGTGGGGACGCGACGTTAGCCATTTTGTTGAACCTGAAAGCCGTCAGGGAACAAAGCTTTGATTGTAAATTTCGAAATAAACTAAGGAGGCGAGGAGACGGATGTGCAGTAAATTTGGGTGTTACTCCAAGTTGGGAAAACTTATTACCACGATACGTATTGCTTATTAAGTAGCTTCAGCTACTTTATGCGAAGACTTTGTCTGTCTGGCTGTCTGTCTGTCTGTAAGCAGAATTACGGGAGAATGGATCGAGATAATCGAAATCGGTTTTCGACATTATACAACGGACGAGAAGGGGAGGATCCTATCGACTTTTGGGGCTGACCGGACCACCCTCACCAGCGGCAGGGTGTGATCGGGGCAAAATGAGATTTTTAGTGAAATTTAATCTACAGATGAAAGAGAGTAAAATTAAGTGTACCAAAGTTGTACCACACTCCCTTGGCGCCAGGGGGTGTGGTTGGGGCAAAATGAGATTTTTAGTTAAATTTAATCTACAGATTGAATAGAGTAAAATTAAGTGTACCAAAGTTGTACCACACTTCCTTGGCGCCAGGGGATGTGGTCGGGGCAAAATGAGATTTTTAGTGAAATTTAATCTACAGATGAAATAGAGTAAAATTTAGTGTACCAAAGTTGTACCACACTCCCT